CATCTTAGTATCTCAGTGCATCTCAGTGTCTGAAATGTCACTTTACAGTGAGCTGCTGACTAGGAAATAATAGAAACGAGAGTAGGAGTAATGGATATGTGAGAATAAAGCATAATTCTTACGGTTAGGGTGGAATCGGTTATCATGTACTGTTTAACTATATTTGTGGACAGCCAATTGCGCTGAGTTCCTGCTGAATTCAGCTGTCCATTTCTTCATTTAGTCCAAAGTTGAGGTCGCCCCCAAGAACAAGTAAGCAATCTAGGGAGAGTGCAGTAAAAAAAACGTGGAAGAATGATCTCCGTATACACTTACAATACAGAACTTTTTGTTAAGTATGGATAATTTACTAATTAGAATTCTTCCCTCTGGATCTATAACTGTGAGTACTGTGAAATTAATATTTTTATGTGTTAAAATCACTACATTCCTCTGCCTAGAGCTATAGCAGGCTGAGAACACATTAGGAAACAAAGGTGTTTTAAGTTCATGCGGCAGGTCTCTGAGTCTCTTGTAATAAAACAACATATGCCTGTAGTTTGTTTTAAACTGGTTAAATATCTTTACCCTCTTTTCTCTGGAGGCAGCTCAATGCACATTCCATGTGACAAACCTTACGGCAATCAAGCGCATCAGTATAACAAAAGGTCCACTTGGGAAAATAAATGTGTTGGGTGAAATTTCCGTTTTAAAAAGATAATAGTAATTAATTGAGCAATTTTACATTTTTAAAATGACTTGACAGTTACATAAAAAGCTATAAGCTCATTATATAGCTCATGGTACACTTTTACATCAGTATATATTTGCATAACCAACTGATAAGAAGACATGTAAAGAAGAACTAAACACCAAACACTGTGTGATGCCAATGATTGTTACAGTCCCTGCCATTAACATGACATAATACTTAAAATGTTATTAAAAACGTTATTAGTTTAATAAACATAATTTAATTTGATGAACTATTATTTGATGAGGAAACCTTTTTTTTTTTAATCTAACAGATTTAACGATCAGCCATCCCAGTGTTACATTTGCGGACAGGCTTAAAATACTGCACCGTCATTCATGGTGATATACTGAAACAAGTCCGAGTGAAACAGTGTCAAGTGAAATAACAAAACACACATATTTCCGGTCTGTTATTTCAACGTACACACATGCTGCTTATTCACTGCATAACGTCACAACGAAACCCAGTGAATACACAAACACCATCCATGAGTAAACTGCAGGTCTTCCATTCATGCAGCTTCTTCCGCATGGTTGTGGTGGGGATGGAGCCTACTTTTCGATAGTGTTTTATTCTTTTATTTTGAAGGAAAATGTGGTCTATTCCTGTCTTTCCTGCGCTATAGTACCTTATGTGAACTCTGCGATACTGCAGAACTGATAACTTGTCTGGAAGCATTTTTGTCACATCGACGTAATGTTATTTATTTTGGGGGGTTTTGTAATAAAAAAAACAAACTGATTTATCTCAATTTAAACACCCTTTACTATGGCCATTTCCCCACACCGGGTAAAATTCCCGCATGCCTCAGCCAGCCCCCCGAGCCCGACCATGTTTACTTCGGCCCCGTTAACTTCTACTCACCGTCAGTTCTGGGTCTATTTCGATTCTGAACGTCTGCTGTTGGAGTGTCTTCAGTGTTATAGTTAGCATCTTTCCGGTGGTTCTCGGACAACAGTGGACTCGGAAGAATTTCTCAACAGCAGCAGCTCTTTTTTTGTCAGTATTTTTCCGGCTCTGTATATATGTGTGACTCAGCTGTCTTAGTGCCGCTGAGCATGCTGGCCACCCACGCCATCTACTGCTGGAGTCACAGTATGACATGCTGCTGACTTCACATCCTGTCGGAAATACCCAACTCTAAGCACAAAAATATTTACAATGATTATAATTCAATTAAATTCAGTTTAAATCACAACACAGCTACCTCAAGGAGATTAAAATTTTTAATTAGAGCCTCCAAATTTAACTCACAAATAGTCCCTTTAGTACAGATTGTCAGGGATTAGAGATATCAATGCAACTATTTTGTTTTTGTCTATTCAAAGCTCGCCTGTCAAACTCAGTCAGCTGATCACGCTGAATGAAGCATTTAAAATGTTCAAATGTAATCAGCGACATCAACTGAAGCAAGCTGCAGCCCAGTGCTTCACAATAAATGAGCTATACAAATATGCAAAACAAAAAATAATAACAATTTTTTTTTAAAAAAAAGGGATGCATGGTGAAAGGCAAATTAGACTTTGTTTGGTCAATGATTTTTAAAAGTACTGGGAGTGGGTGGCTTCTGAAATGAGCATGCCACATAAATAACACACAAATACTTAAATACTTGCTGTATACACAGATTAAAATCACTCAGTGTGAAAGAAACCGCCAAAGTTAGGAGGGCAACAGAGATCAACTACTGAAAGTAATGAAAAACAGCAAAGTTGAGAAGCTTCAATTTATTAACTCAAAACTGTGTTCACAAAGTAAAGATACTCAATCAAAACATTGGGAATGCACACACGCGCACGCACACACATATCACACAGAGGACTTATGAGCAAACTCAAAAACGCTGTGAACTGTCATGTCCACAAACAAATGTAATATTTGAATAATTTACGAAAGGATCACCTCAGAAAACAAACAGTGCATCATGGTGTGATAGAGATCAAAGTGCACAACCAGACATCGCAGACGCTCAAGTTATGGGATTTCCAAAGGGGATAAAAAGAAATGAAAAAAAAAAGAAAGAAAGAAATCACATTAAATCAGAAAATCCACGTATATACCAAACACACAAACACAAGGATAAACAAACCCTTCTCCAATTTGATGGTTTGGGAATCAAGAAAGAAATCCCATCCCTCAAACATCCCACCTGAATAAAAGGCTGCTATATGAAAAGCTACAGTCCAGATGGCATCAGCCTATTTTCTGTGGGTCTGTCATTTGAACCTGAGGAACGCACACACACACACACACCCCTCACACCGTTACAACTCGTCCTTTGGTTTGCCATTATTGTCCTCTTCTATCCCAGCATCATCATCTGGCTCCTCATCATCCTCTCCCTCCTCCTCCTCACCATCCTCTTTGTCATCCTCATCATCACCTTCAGTGTCCTCCTTGTTCTTCTCCTTCTCCTCTTCCTCCCTCAGTTTCCTTTCCATATCTTCCTGCTCATTCTTCATTTTCTTCTCTGGTCCCTAGGCAGGTGAAGAACAATGTTAATGTTTAACATAATGGAAAGTGAATCCACAATAGGGGAGTACTGAACTGTCACCTGCAGTGTGAACCAATGCTGAACCTAAAAGCTACATTCTTTGTCTTCATTAAAATCCTTTTGTTTTATCACCTGCCAAACTTTTAGTTCGGGTCCTTTTTATGTTAAGTATGTTAAGTACACCAAGTTTGATGTCCAAACTGAACGCAGGACTTTGACTGAGAACCACGAGTTCTCAATAAAAAACAAGCACAAAAAAATAAACAAACAAGGTGCACAAAACAAACATCAAAATAACAAGCTAGACCAAAACTCTTTGTTCCATAATAAATTATGGAACTAAAAATATTTCTTCCCCAAATGA